TAAGAGGCAGAAAAAGAAAAATTCTAATTTAAATGTACAAAAATTAAATTTTAAGTTGATAGGATTATTATTGACACACAAGGAGCTCCAAAATAGACCCTATTTTTATTAGAGATAAGCCAGTTGGGATTGAAACAAAAATGGAGGAAGGTATAGCCCTGTGTATGTTACACAGAAAAAGTGTCTGAATGGTAAAGGCCTGAGTGATAACTCTGGACAAGGGATTTGGATTTTGGGAGTAGTGCAGAGGTAGAGGCATTTTTGTGATTTATTGTTCTATTTTTCTTTTAGAAAAATGTAAGTAGTCATATATAATTTTAAAATATAAGGGAGAAGAGGGAAAATTTTGAATGGCAACTGAGGATCCTATATTCATATTGGATCAGTATTAACATCCAGGTTTTGATTGTTGTACTGTGGTTACCTGGTAGATTCCCTTTGTATATAGGAAATAGACACTGGAATAGTAAGGAGTAATGAGTCAAGTTGTCTGCAACTTATTATTCAAAATCACTCACAAATGGGGAATCTGGTATAAGGGCAAAATGGGGGCACTGTGGCCTATTTTTACAACTTTTGTGTACATCTGAAATTATTTCAAAATAAAATGTTTACAAGGGTGCTCTTACTGTGCTGGCCGTTTTCTTTTGTAATGGACTTTGTGTGTGTGTGTGTCAAAGTGTTAGTTGGATTATTTAAAAGATTTGCTTGTTACCCACTCTTGGCCTCATTTCATGACTAGCACTAGAAAGCAGAGAGAGGAAAAACACAGATGGAGCTTTTGCAGAAATGGTTGCAAATGCCAGCCATAAAAAAGATGTGGAGACAATCAGGAAATTAATGCATAGCCTGGGTATTGGGAGATGTTACCTGATGAGTATTAATCTGGTCAGTTGTGATTATAGGATTGGGGTCATCTAAGATAATGTCCTTAAGTAGCTCAGACTCCTGATGAAGTATCTGGGAATAAAATGTCAAGAAGCCTGGGCATTGCTTAAAAATAATTCAACACAGGAGAAGCATAGGTGAAATAAATAGGGTGAATATTAATAATTGTCCGATCTGGACAATGAGCATATGAGAGTTAATCATAATATCTTCTCTACTCTCATGTCCATTTGAAAGTTCTCATAATAAGGTACTAAAAATAAAACAATCACAAACGCCTTCCCTTGTTATTAAAGTAGCTTTACTTCTTTGTCTTATTTCCAAAATATTAAGAATATTTTTGAAAATAAAAAAAATCTCAGGATGCCAACTTGTTCCAAGTGATTGTATCAGGGGAAGCAGTGAGATTTAGGATTAAGGAGAAAAGAGGAAATTTCATTTTTAACGTCACATATTTCTTTGTTTGAATTTTCTTAGAATTTTACTTGAGTCAGAAAGTAAAATTTAGAGCAATACATGAAATGTATTTTACTAAAAGACCAAATGTTGTCACCAAACTGCTGGCAGTGGTTACTTCTGGGAAGGGGAGTGACTTGGAGAAGGGGCTGCTGGTGAGGGGAGACTTTTCTTTTTAATTTTGTTCTTCCACATTTGTTTATTATGTAAGTTATTCTACATGTGTTTATTATGTAATTTAAACATGAAAATGCAAATTAAAATAATACATACTAATTTATAAAGGATTTCAGGCCAAAGAAAAAGACATAAAGAAGGTGAACATACCACCAAATACTTCAAAAAATATCTAATAAGCTCAGGTTAAAAAACCCTGATTTACAACATGGATTTTAATGGCTGCAAAGAATTTCATCCTACAAACATGCTGTAATTAATCCCCTAAGGTATCTTCAAGTTATTTCCTTTTTTTTTTTTTTTTTTTTTTTTTTGAGACAGAGTTTTGTTCTTGTTGCCCAGGCTGAAGTGCAATGGTGCCATCTCGGCTCACTGCAACCTCTGTCCTCTGGGTTCAAGCAATTCTCCTGCCTCAGCCTCCTGAGTAGTTGGGGTTACAGGCACACACCAACACATCCGGCTAATTTTTGTATTTTTAGTAGAGTTGAGGTTTTGGCACACTGGCCAGGCTGGTCTCAAACTCCTGACATCAGGTGATCCACCTGCCTTGGCCTCCCAAAGTGCTGGGATTACAGGCGTGAACCACCGTGCCCAGCCGTTACTTCTGAGTTTAAAATTATAAACAGTGAAACAACATCTCGCCCACCATCCTTAATTATGTCCTTAAGAGGCATTCCGAGGAGTGGAATTTCTGATCAAGAGGAAATGAATAAAGTTTTGGTATTTATTTATCAGAAAGTTTGAAATGAAACAGTTTTTGCCGGTTAGCAAAAAACGAAACAAAACAAAACAAAACAAAACAAAAATGAAGAAGATTAAAAACATACTTGCCTGGTAAGAGTATGATTTTTGAGCCTGAGACAGGTGAAAGGCAATTTCCTATCAGCCAAATTCCATAATATACATACCTTTGATCCACCAAGTAGCATCTAAGTAGTACTCTATGTGTACCCAGTAGATACACTCTAATGCAAGCACAAAGAATAATGTACAAGGATGGTGTACTAGGTTAAATTGTGTCCCTTCAAAATTCATATCCACCAGAAATTCAGAAATGTGACTTATTTGGAAGTAGGGTCTTTGCAGATATAGTTAGTGAAGAGGAGGTCACACTGGATTAGGGAGGGCCATATTCAATGGCTGGTGTCCTTATAAGTAGAGGGAAATATAGACACATAAAGATATGAGAGTGGCAGGTGAAGACACAGACACAGAGGGAAGACCCAGTTTGTGGTACTTTGTTATGGCAGCTTGACAACACAAATGCAGATGATCATTGTGGCATTCTTTGTAACAGCAAAATAAGGTAAACAGCTTAAATATCCATCAATAGGATATTGTTTTGAAATTATGGTATATCCACACAGTGGAATGCCATGCAGCCACTAAAAAGAATAAAAAGATCACTGGTGTACATTGTCAAATGATAAATACAAGATGGGGTGCATCATGTACAACATGCTACCACTTATGTAGAAAATGTGGGATGTGGGCCAGGTGCAGTGGCTCATGTCTGTAAACATCTGTAATCCCAGCACTTTGGGAGGCTGAGGCGTGCGGATCACGAGGTCAGGAGATCAAGACCATCCTGGCTAACATGGTGAAACCCCGTCTCTACTAAAAATACAAAAAAAAAAAAAAAAATTAGCCTGGTGTGGTGGCGGGCACCTGTAGTCCCAGCTACTCTGGAGGCTGAGGCAGGAGAATGGTGTGAACCCGGGAGGCGGAGCTTGCAGTAAATTGAGATCACCCCACTGCACTCCAGCCTGGGCGACAGAGCAAGACTGCGTCTCAAAAAACAAAACAAAAACAAAAACAAAAAAAAAAAAAGAAAAGAAAACGTGGGATGTAGTTGGCCGTGGTGGCTCACGCCTGTAATCCTAGCACTTTAGGAGGCTGAGGCGGGTGGGTTGCCTGAGCTCAGGAGTTCGAGACCAGCCTGGGCAAAACAGTAAAACCCCGTCTCGAAAAATTAGCCAGGCGTGGTGGCATGCGCCTTTAGTCCCAGCTACTCGGGAGGCTGAGGCAGGAGAATCACTTGAACTTGGGAGGCAGAGGTTGCAGTGAGCTGAGATCGTGCCACTGCACTCCAGCCTGGGCAACAGAGCCAGACTCCATCTCAAAAACAACAACAACAAAATGAAAAGCAAAATGAAAATGTGGGAGGTATGTTTGTGTATACATTGAATTATCTCCAAGTACCTACACATAGCTTGTAATGCTAGTGGCCTCTGAGGAGAATTAGAGAACTGAGGGAGAGGGAATTTTCACTGTATACTATTGTGGGTAAGCGTTTCTTCATTAACTTTTTGGCTATCATGTTTGCGAGCTGCCTTTCATCTTCTCTGTTCAGTTTTCCTTAGAGAGGTGTAGGTCACTGAGATTTGACCTTTACCATTGATTTCAAGACTTAAGGATTTTTTTTTAACGTTAACATTTTCCTGTGGTTTTTCTTGTTTGAATTTTAGAAGTAACACAGGCTCATGTTAAAATATACATAGAAGTATGTATGGTGAAAAGTGTGGTGAATCAGGGTTCAAGTAAGGTCTGTTCATTTAATTGATTGATATATGCCTCAAGTCTTTTTTAATCTGTAGGATTTTTCCCTCTCCCTCATTTTCTTCTTTGCAACTTATTTGTTGAAGAAACAGGTTTTCCTGTGGAGTTTCCCACAGTCCACATGATATTGAGCACATCCCCAGTGGTGTCATTTAATGTGTTTTCCTGCCCTTTGTACTTCCTCTGAATTCATATTTAGATTTGGAAACCTGATGGGATTCCATCAGGCTTTTTTGGTTTTGATGGGGGTTTTTGGGGCAAAAATTCTTCATCAGCTGTGTTATGTTCTTCCATCTAGAGGCTCATAGGGAGCACTCCCCAAGGCAGCTTGTAAGTGCACTCTGAGCTGCAGTCCTCAACTTAGCTGAAATAAACTCTCTATATTAAAAATAAAAATAAAAATCCATTGAACTGGAGCTGCAGGGTAAAGAAAGAAAAAGAGAGAGGCTCATAATATCCAATTGTCTTTTTTTGATGTTAGTAGCCATTAGTAACTATTACCTAGATCTATAAGTTCATTAAGAATGTATAAATTATGAGCTATAATTATTTCAAAGAAATTCATATGAAATCTTCCTGCCCTATTGCTCTGGTTAGAACTTCATAATGATCTTGAACAGCAGCATCAGCAAACATGCATTCCCTTCTTTCACCCCTGAGTTTCATTAAGGGGATGTTTGTGGTGGTGTCTTTTAACCCCTCAGGGAGAAGGTGACCCTTAGGGGTCCTGATTTATCTAGCACACACCATAAACCTCAAGGGCAAGAGACGGGGCCCTGCTTCGGATGGAAATCTGTCTCTCATCCCATCCTTAGCCCCAGCCCAGGGGTGTCTGCAGACCCCGCTGGGACTTCCTACTTCCCTTCTCTCTCCCCTCTCACTCTCGCTATGTCCTGTAATTTTGATTTTCGTTTCTACAGGGCAAGCCAAGTCTTTGAAGACTGAAGACTTGCTGGCAATGGTGATAAAGCTGCAGAAAGGTCATGTGTCTCTTTGTTTCTGAGCCTCAGCCTGGGGTTTCAAGTCAGAAAGACATGGTTCAAATTCAGCCACCTCAACTCACAACCTCAGGAAATTATCCCATTGCACTTTCTCCCTCTTATACAATTTAATTCTTTGAACCAAGATTACAGCCTCACAGTTCAAAATTCAAGAAGTTTAAAGGAAAGGAAAAACCAGTTCCCCTGCCATCCCTCCTCCCTCCCCCCACACACCGGACATCCATTTCCCGGACTCACGGGCAAGCAGCTATTGTTTTTCAATTCTTAAGTATCTTTCCAGAGGTTTTTAAAAAATGCATTCATGGATGTGTTTTTTTTTGTCCTCCCTTTTACATACAAATGGCAATGCAGTTGGTTTTGCACCTTGCTTTGCTTTTTGCAGGAGATCTGGGAGCCAGTGTGCACCCAGTATCTACATCAGAGCTGAGGCAGTGCTGGCCAGAGGTTAGACCCCCAGTCCATTCTCATCTTAAAATAGTATCACGTCAGTCTATTCCAAACAAAAGCAGCAGCCTCCCCTTCTCCCACTCTGTGGCTGCCTGCAGAAGAAGTGCACTGGGACTGCTGCCTAGGCAAAATTAGGGAGAGAAATTGCAGGGCCAGAAATGCAGTGACCCTAACTGATCATTTCCAGTAAAACAAAGACCCCCAGACATTTCTGTCAGTCATAATCAGCACCGTGGAGAGCACCCACTCTCCTGAAAATCACAGAAGCTGGAGTCAGTGACCTTGGAAAATCCAGGATCTGAGTTTATTAACCCCAGAGTGTCTGAGGGGTCGGCAGTGAGACCTGGCAAGGGTTGGGCAGCTTTTTGCCCCCGTTCTTTGTTGCCAACCTTGATGCCCCAAAGAGGCATGAGAAGGAAGTCTCCTGCATACAGAGCACTGAAACAGGGACTATGAGAAGTTAGAGCTGACTCTCTAAAGGGACAGTGATCACCCTGTCACTGGGAAACTTGCAAGCTGCCACCAGCAGTGTAAAAGCAGGTTTCCCCATTTCTCAGATGAGGCCAGTACCAGAGTGCAGACTGACAACCCTTCCTGTCTGGCTTTTGATAGGGCGGGGCAGATGGGACGTCTCCATTGGCTCACACCACACTCAGAGTTACATCTAAAGGCTTCCACGATGGCCCAAGAAGCCCTGAGTGATACCACTTCCCACTTCCCCCACCTCACCTTCTGCTACTCTCCACTTGCTCACGAGACCTGAGCCACACCAGCCCCTCACTGTTACTTTCGACACGTGCCTCACCCGCTCCTGCCACACTATGGGGAATTTGCACTTGTTCCCTCTGCCTTGTTGCACTCTGCCTGGAATGGGTCCCCCCTCCACACTCTACCCCCACAGAACTGTAGGACCTGCTTCCCTCTCCTCATCTGGGCCCTTTCCATATCTCCAGACATGCCTTTTACCCTTTTGCTCTTCAACGCTTTGCCTCACTTTATTTCTCTTCACAGCAGCTACTGCCACCTGAATTGATTTATTTATCTTTGCTCAATGTCCATCTCCCCAGCCCAGAATGCAAGCCCTTCAAGGGGCTCTGGCAGAGCTCAGCATACAGCAGGTGCTCAATATATGCCTGTTAATTGATAGCAGCAGACACAGTGCTTCTCCGTCTGCCTTGGACAGCCAGACACCAGTCTTCTCTGGCTCAGTCTTTCTTCCTTTCTTTCTTCAGAGGGAAGTCTGGAGCCACAGATAGAGGACCTGATTAACCGGATTAACGAGCTTCAGCAAGGTAAACTTGGGGACCTAGCCCGGCCAGCTGGGGCCAGCAGGAAGAGCCTGGATTTATAATGAATCCACCTCCTTATCTATAAAATCTAGGCCCCTGTAGGGTTATTTGAAGATGAATATGCAATGTCATATTGGCGAGAGAACAGCAAGGCTAGAGACTACACTCACACAGTGTCTTCTTCCCTTCTTGGCCCAGCAAAGAAGAAATCCAGTGAGGAACTGAGAGAGACCCACACTCTCTGGGAGGCCCTGCATAGGGAATTAGACTCCTGTAAGTGGGGCCAAAAGAGGGACCCATCAACACTGCGGATGCTCCTGTGCATACCTCAGGGCCTTTGCACAGGCTGTTCTCGGGCCTACAATGCTCTTAGCTCACATCATCTGTATTGCCTCTCACTGTCTCATGTCATCTTTCAGCTCTCAGCTCAAATTTCACCCTGACAGGCCTATCTTGATGGTCTCATCTCAGAATAGAATCCCGCCCTCTCTTGGTCATTCTCACGCCCCTGGCTGATTTGTTTCTTAGGAGTCTTTATATCCACCTGACATTGTGCGTGTATTTCTTTATAGCCATCTCTCTCCTCAGTGTAAACCTTGTACATTCTTCAGGGTCTTCAGTCCTTCAACATTTACAAGGAATGTGGGCATAGAAGGGGAGAAGCTGGATCAGGATGGTCCTTGTGGGAGATGGTTGCAAGGGTGGCAAGAAGATACGTCAGCTCTCAGCTCTCCTAGGGCTGTACTACACCTTCTGTGTGGCTTTCCCCTTATATGAAGTTGCAATGGGGATGGCGATGGGGTGCCTGGAGGCTGAAAGTGTCATTGTGTTTTCCAGTGAATGGAGAGAAAGTGCACCTAGAGGAGGTCTTGAGCAAAAAGCAAGGTATTTACCAGTTGCTGTGTCTTCCTTATTCTACTCTTCCATCCCACAAAAGTCCATACTCCTCAGAGAAGCAAGAGGAATCCCACTGAAACCTAAGTCAGGGTGCTTCCCTGTCTGCACAGATCTCTCCCTGGATCACTACCTTACTTGGAGTAAACACCCCAGTCCTCACGGTGCCCTCCAATGCCTGACATGATGTGGGGCCCATTACCTCTGGCCAACCCTGACTCCCCAAGAGCTCCCAAAGGGTCCCCTTGGTTCCTTCCCCACAGAGGCACTCAGGATCCTCCAGATGCACTGCCAAGAGAAGGAAAGTGAGGCTCGGAGGTAAGTGGCCCTGCCTCAGCTCTTCCCCACCTCATTCCCCAGCTGAAAAAGGAGGGAGCAAGAGCTATGAAAATCAATCTTGGACATGGAAGCCTCATTTTACCTTTCTATAAATAGAGCAGTCAGACAAAAGACTTCCTTGGTTATCTCTGATATTAAATGGTCCTGTTAAGATTAATTTACTCATTTATTTATTCATTACTAATTTCTTTATCAAATATATTCCATCCATTGGTGTTAGCCTCAGTCTTTTGCTGTTGGCTATCCAGGTCCTTTGATATCCATTCACTTGCTTATTTGTCTGCTTATTTTAAGCCCCAGTCATCCATTTGCCCACCCATTCATCTACTTACCTATCTAGCCATTCACCTACTCACTCATGCATCCATTCATCCATCTATCCAACTATCCAAGCATGTCATCCAGCCAGATGGCTATTTTATCTCCAACCTTCCACCTAACAATCTTCCATCCATCCAATCATGCATTCATCCTCTCTCTGTCCTTCCCCATCATATATTCACTTAGCCAACCGTCCATCCAGACATCTATCCTTTCTTCTAGCAATCCTTTCTTTCTCTATCCAGCCACTATTCCTCTACTTATCATTTCTCTAATCAGCTATCGTTTCTCCAGCCAGCAGCTCACACATCCAATCAACTGTCTCTCCAACCGTATATCCATCCATCTCTTCATCCTCCCAAGTAGCCGGAATTATAGGCATATAACCACGTCTGGCTAATTTTGTATTTTTAGTAGAGATGGGGTTTCTCCACGTTGGTCAGGCTGGTCTCGAACTCTTGACCTCAGGTGATCCTGCCCCCCTCAGCCTCCCAAAGTGCTAGAATTTCAGGCATCAGCTACCATGCCCAGCATCCTCTGAACCTTTACTTAGCACATTCCTGTTACCAGAGGTCTCACATCCTGGTGCACCATGATTTTAATTGCATGGGGAAACCTGATGTTAGCTAATGTGTGTATACTTAACCACACTACTCACACTGTCTGATGAGCATTTATGCCCATTTATGTACCTAATCCTCATAATGACAATTATAGGAGTTAAAGGCTAATGTCACCCTCCACACCACCATTTTACATATGAGGAAACTGAGACCCAGAGAGGTTAAGTAACTTGCCCAGGGTCACAGTGAAGTAACAGATCAGGCTTCAAGCCAGGATGTTACAGAATCTATGGTGCCAGATTACCACACACCTCACAAAGCCTTCTTGGGAAGGCAGAGTTCATTCCATGGGGGACAGGATGGACAGGGTGATGTTCTCAACAGAGGCCCATGAAGGTTCTCGTTCAACAAGGGAAATGAGAAAGGTGAATGCCGTGAACAGACATCCCAACTCCCACTCCTGCTGGAGTGAATGGTGGGTCATTCAGAGAATACCACTCAGGGTTGTCTTTCCCTTCCCAGGAAGCACACGTTGCAACAGTACATGGAACAAATTTTTGTCCATAACACTCAGGTTTCAGAGTCCCAAACAGAGGAATCTGGGGTAACTCCCAAGCCTGGGGCCTGGCAGACCACAGTGTAGAAAGTGGGAGCAGGGCTTGCATCAGGGAGAGTTTGTTGGAAGAGGTGCTGCAGGAACCAAAGCTTAGAGGATAAAACCCATGAAGTGGCTCCCAGCAGAGGGAGCATGGGCAGGATCTGAAGGCCCGCACATGAGGAGCCCCCATCAGGGGTCAGGCCTAGCATGTGTTCTCTCATTCCTGGGTGTTGGCCTCCAGGTTGGATGTCAAAGGACAGCTGGAGGATCTGACGGGCCAGCACAAGGACCTCTGGGAATTCCACGTGAGCCATTATCATTGCCTGCAACCAAAGCCACTCCTCCCTTGGCTTTAGTGTCCCACTGACTGGCCCAGAGTCCACCCCTGCCCAGGCCCAATGCCAGGGGATAATCCTTGATTCCTTGCTTCCTCTTGTCCACCTATTCAGTCCCTCAGCTTTTATCTAAAATCATCTTAAGTCTCACCATGCCTTACTGCCACACCCAGCATCACCTGCCCAGACGGGGGCGTACCATTGTGATCTGCTTTCCCCCTGCTCACCCAGAGTATGTTCATCTTGCAGTGGCAAATGGCAGCCCAGAGAAAGCCATGGTCAGGTCATTCCTTCATTCAGCTAATGTCAATGGCTGCACTGGGCTGCATTTGAAGCAGTGAGAGAGGGTAGCAGATCAAAGAGGCCAAGTCTTTAGCAGATCAAAGAGGCTGTCTCAAGCTGGTTGGGGACAGTGGAGGCACCAAGAAAGTTAGTGGCTAGATCGTGGAACGTCAGTGGGAAGGCCTCTAAGCAAGTGACATCTCAACACAGAGGTTAAGGAAATGAGGGAAGAAGCGGTGCAGGTATCTGGGTACAGAAGGAAGGCCCTGGGACTGGACGGTGCCTGAAACCTTTGAGGAGCCGCAGACTGGGGAGTGGAGGATGAGGAGAGTGAGAAGAGTTCAAGTTTGAGAGGTGCCTGGAGACATGCAGAGCGTTTGGGGGGAGGTGGGTGGGTCTCCAGCCACAGCAGAAACTGCACATTGAGTTAATAAATAGTTGAATGAATGAATGACCTAATGTAGGTGAAGACTTCCCGAGAAGCACAAAAGGGGAGGGGCGGGCCGTGTAGCCAAGAGGACATCCAGACGAGCAGGCCTCCTCTTTGTCCTGGCAGATGCTGGAGCAGCGACTGGCCCGGGAGATCCGTGCCCTGGAGAGGAGCAAGGAGCAGCTGCTCTCGGAGAGTGAGCCTCCCGCGCCAGGTGGGCCGGGGGAGGGGCATGTGGCCGGGCCTTGGCCCTGCCCCTGACGCCCGCCCACCCGCAGGGAGGCTGGTGTGCGCCAAGCTGCGGGACGTGGAGCGGCGGCTGAGCTCGCCGCCTGAGGTCGAGGGCGCCAGGGCGGTGAATGACGGGTGAGAGGGGAAGGGAGGTGTGGGCGAGGAGGGCAGGGACAGGGCGGAGGGGAACCGGCCCAGGTCCCCCGCTCCGCCCCCCACTGCCCCTTCCCCCGCCTGTGCCTCCCTCGGCGTCGTCGGGTCTCCGCGTCTCCGTGGCTTCCTCCTTGTTCCCTAGACTCTCCCTCTCTTCCTCCTCTCTCCTCGTCCCCTTCTCCGCAGGCTGAAGGCGGAGCTGGAGATATTCGGGGAGCAGGTCCCGAGCGCCCCCGAGGTCGGGGCCGGCGAGGGAGAGGTAGGGAGCCCGGGGAAGGGAGGCGGGGCGGGCAGGGATCCTGGGAGTGGCCCCTGAGAGTGGGGTCTGTGCGGAGCAGGGCGGCCCCGGAGGTAGAGGAAGCCTCGGTGGAGGCCTAGGGCAGACGCGGGCGGACGCGAGGAGCGCGGGAACCTGGTCTGCAGCCTCACCCCGTCCCCGGCAGGCCGGACCTGAGCTCCCCCGCGCCCGCGACGAGGCGGATCCGGAGCCGCCGGTGGCTGCCCCTGACGCCCCCTAGGCCAGCAGGATCCGCCCGGTCCCCGCCCTCCCTCGAGACCGGCCAAGAAATAAAGGCGATAATTTCCGACCGTGCCTGCGTTCTCCCCGGAGTCTGTGCTTCACGGTGGAGAGGGGAGGGGCGTCCTGGGGTCTCGAGGCGGGGCCTCTGCCTGACTCCGCCCTCCAGTCAAGCCCCAGGCGCCAGAGGCTCGGTAAAAACTCCTGACCTCAGAGAGAGTAAAGTGGGTGTCAGGACCCCCCGCCCCACAGCCTCATCTCGAGTTCCCAAATCTGTGTTGTCAACAGGGGCTGGAGGGCACGTGTTAACCCATTCTGGTCCTCGGGGTCTGTGTGTCTCCAGTGGTCTCAGGAAACCCAGAGTCTCTGCAAGACCCGCAGACTCGCGCTAGCTCTGGGACGTGTCCGCCCATCTGAGCTCCTCTCACACATTGGATTCTAGCCAAGGCTGCCTCTCCACCCTTCTCAAACACTTCAAACACGTGTCCCTTCCGGGCCTTTGCCCTGCTGGTCCTCGTCTGGGGTCACATCCCCTAGGCCACCTCAGATCTGTTAAATGTGTCCGCCACTCCGGAGGCCAGCCTTGGGGACTCAACTCCAAAGGCACCCGGCACCAGGCTGCTGCCATTGACCGAGCATGTAGTGACTAAGCAGGCATTTGCCGATTGCCTGCTGGGTACCAGGCACTGTTGTAAGCCCTGGATTTTAAACAGCGCGGTTAGCGAAGCCTCACCTAGAAAGTGGTATCTGAGCGGAGAAGTGAGGTAGCAAAGGAGGGAGTGAGCCCTGTGGGTGTTTGGGGAAAGGTGCGCCTGGCAGAAGACATACCTCATGCCAAGGCCTGGAGGTGAGGCTGCACTTCGCTGTGTTTGAGGAGCCGTCTGGAGGAGGCCTGCGTGGTGGAGTGGAATGAGGTAGAGTGGGGTGGGAGACGACACTGGAGAGTTGCCAGGGACCAGTCAAGTTGGGCATTATCTAATGTATGAGGTAGAGTGGGGTGGGAGACGACACTGGAGAGTTGCCAGGGACCAGTCAAGTTGGGCATTATCTAATGTGTGTAGAAGAGGACCTGGTACACAGATTCAGTGAATGTCAACTCTCACATACTGTTGTGATGATTCACTATTCCCAGTCCCTAGAGAATGGGAACTGAGACGTGTGACTCACTTACATCAGGGCTTCTGTCCATTAAGTGATCAGTAAGTGGTTCATATGATTTATTATTATTATTCTCAGGCTACAGATGAGGAACACCAAGGTGTGTACATCTCTCAGAACAGAGATTTTTATACAGTAAATGCTCAATAAATGGTATCTATCATTAATTTTTCTCACTACTATTCTTGTTGTTATTCCCAATTTAGTGATGAGGAAAATTGAGATAGTGAATCTGTACAGTAAGCCCTCAATAAACGTTGGGTATCACAGTTGTTGCCATTATTATCCCAAGTCCACAGATGAGGCCCAGGGAGCTTTTAGTTCCCGAGTCATCACTCGCATCCGGGCACAACTGACTCCAGGCCCAGGTTGTGATCCCCTGCCCCACTGACCCCACCTGCTTGCTAAGGCCAGTCTCCAGGAATCTCTAAGGAACCTCAGTATCCTCTTTGTCATCCTCTCTGTGTCACACAAATGGGGTCAGCCTGGATATTCTGCCGACTTACCACTGGGTACCTAGGATTCGAGTCCTGGTTTCCCTGTTCACGGGCTGGATGACTTCAGGCAAATTACTTAATGTCTCTAAAACTCAATGACCAGCTGGGGGCGGTGGCTCAGGCCTGTAATCCCAGAACTTTGGGAGGCTGAGGCGGGTGGATCACGAGGTCAGCAGTTCAAGACTAGCCTGGCCAAGATGGTGAAACCCCTTGGTTTGGTGGTGGCGGGTGTCTGGAATCCCAGCTACTCAGGAGGCTGTGGCAGAGAATTGCTTGAACCCGGAAGGTGGAGGTTGCAGAGAGCCAAGACGGTGCCACTGCGCTCCAGCCTAGGCGACAGAGGAAGACTCTGGCTTTTAATTTGCCCTGTGTTCTCCTGACTCAACTGAACTTCCTGGCAGGACTACTTCTCCTTTCATTGAAATGATTGACAGCTGCCTGGGATGTCTTCACTTACTTCCTGTAACAGCGTTTATCTCCACCCACGTCCTCTCTCCATAGGACTTGCATTCATCCCATAATTCTCAAGCTTCTTAGCTTGTAGTTCAGGTTCAAATGTGGATGAGCCAGGGGGAGCTCAGTGTTGTCAAAAGGCTGAAGGACATTCTTTTTTTTTTTTCTTTGAGACGGAGTCTTTCTTTGTTGCCCAGGCTGGAGTGCAGTGGCGCGATCTCGGTTCACTGCAAGCTCCGTCTTCCCGGGTTCACGCCATTCTCCTCCCTTAGCTTCCCGAGTACCTGCGACTACAGGCGCCCGCCACCACGCCTGGCTAATTTTTTTTTTTTTTTTTTAATTTTTAGTAGAGACGGGGTTTTACCGTGTTAGCCAGGATGGTCTTAATCTCCTGACCTCGTGATCCCCCCGCCTCGGCCTCCCAAAGTGCTGGGATTACAGGCGTGAGTCACTGCGCCGGGCCAGGACGTTCTTGAAAAAAGTAAGCCAGAAAGAAACCCACTGAAAAACAGGAGAGGAGTCAGAGGAGGGGCCCGAGGAGAGGCAAACATAGCACAGCCTGAGTAGCAAGCTAGACAAGGCATGAAAGAGACAGTGGCTAAAGTGACTGCAGTGGAATCTCCCAGAGGATAATAATATTACTGCCTAATAGAGCATACTAGTTAGCAGAACAGAACCCAGGGCCAGACTGTCTTTGTAAGAATCCCAGCTCTGCTGCATACTAGCTGTGTAACTTCAGGTTACACAGTTAAGTTACTTAAATTACCCCCCGTTTTTTTTTTTTTTTGAGATGGGTTTTATTCTTGTCGCCCAGGCTGGAGTGCAATGGTAGGATCACTGCTCCCTGGAACCTCCACCTCCCAAGTTCAAGTGATTCTCCTGCCTCAGTCTCCCGAGTAGCTGGGATTACAGGCGCCCACCGCCACGCCCAGCTAATTTTTGTATTTTTAGTAGTGACAGGGTTTCACCATGTTAGCCAGGCTGGTCTCAAACTCCTGACCTCAAGTGATCCACCCTCCTTGGCCTCCCAAAGTGCTGGGATTACAGGCGTGAAACACTGCGCCCGGCGGAAGTTACTTAAATTCTGTATGGCTAGTTTCCTTATCTGTAAAGTAGAAAGTTATTGTGAGGGTTAAATAAATAGATAATATATGGAAAGTGCTTAAAACCATACTTGGTACATCATAAGTACTGCGTTGGTGGTAGCTGTCATTATTACAAGGAATTTTCACATCCTCATTTGGTCATGATCGTAGGGATCTTACATAATAAACATTATATATTTTTTGTTACTTTACAGTTAAGGAAACTGATGGTGACTTCACTGAAACCAGGGAAGAACTAGTATTCAAGGACAGATCTTCTTACCCCGCATTCAGAATTCTTCCTCTTCTCCATACCACACCACACTGCACTCTTTTCCATTTCATTGAAGTTCTTTTTCTTTTTTTTAATTTTTTTTTTTTAAATTTTTTGGTTCATTTCTGTCAGAGAGTTAAGATCACAATTGACTTGACTTAATTCTTCCAAGTTCAGTGGAAGAACTGGCATTTATTGAATATCTGCCATATCCCTGGCACTTTGTTAGCTACTGAGAAAGCAGAAAATGTATCAGTCATAAGTTCTGTCTTCAAGGAGCTTAAAGACTCACTGGAGGGAGAAAAGTACACAGTAAACGACTGCAGATCTAAAATCGTGTGCTCCTGAAAGGCAGTGAGCCAATGGAAAGAATACCACGCCAGGAGTCAGACAGTTCCTTTTGTGACTCAGCTCTGGTTCACTGTGTGACCTTATTGGGGACATATAACTAAAACAAAATCTGCCAACCCAGAAAACTCCATAAAAAGTAGAAGAGAAAGAAGACAGTTTCATTACTGAATAAGCATTAAACCAGAAGGTGATGTCACAGGCAATCACAAAAGAGATTGCAAAGGCAGAGAAATAAATCTCACCCTTTAATATAGCCAGATACAACTCATTCAGTGATGAACAATAACTTGTTCTCAAATAAAGACTTAATAGCACGATTTGTCACTCATAGTTCATCCTAAATTGGGGTTACTCTCTGTGTTAGTTAATTGGCTTTATCCAAAGGAAAATTCAATGACGGGACACAGTTCTGGAGCAAGGCACCTGCATGCTGCAGCTGGACCCTTACTCTCTCACAGAAACTATGAGACAGGGATGCTATCTTCCTTGATTAAATTTCAAAGAGATGGTTCTCAGGTCCTTTAGAAAGACGATCATAGGTCATAAAGGTAGTAGGAGGTTTATTAGCTTTTTAAAAAGATTTATATGCATTTCAAAGAGAAATAACAAGGTTTTTTAAGTAGATGCTCTCAGAAAAGGCAAAGGGGAAAGGGTTGGGGGAAACTGGGAAGGGGTAGGGTAGGAGTATCTTCCCTTATATTCAATAGGGAGAATGAAGCCTCTTATTTTTCTCTTTTTAAAAATTTTAAATTTTTATGGGTACCTTGTTAGTATATATAGTTATGGGGTACATGATATATTTTGATAGAGGCATACACTGTGTAATAATCACAAAAGGGGTAAATGAGCTATCCATCACCTCAAGCAAGCCTCTTATTATTATTATTATTTTTATTATTTTGAGATGGAGTTTCGCACTTGTTGCCCAGGCTAGAATGCAATAACGTGATCTCGGCTCACCGAAGCCTCCACCTCCCGGGTTCAAGCGATTCTCCTGCCTCAGCCTCCTGAGTAATTGGGATTACAGGCATGCGCCACGACGCCCGGCTAATTTTGTATTTTTAGTAGAGACGAGGTTTGTCTATGTTGGTCAGGTAGGCTGGTCTCGAACTCCTACCTCAGGTGATCCTCCTGTCTCGGCCTCCCAAAGTGCTGGGATTACAGGCATGAGCCACCGCGCCCGGCCATCTCATTTCTAACTCGTGTTTGCCTTTACATCTGTGGGTAAATCACTTCATCTTCCTGGGCTTCTTTTTC